TTGGTTTCTACTGGACAAATGTAGACAGTTATTCATCATTCCGAACTTAGTTTGAAATCTAAAATAACTACCATACTTTTCGAACATACGTACAGGTCTTACATGTACAGAAGGCCTGTAAATGTATAACAAACAGTGTGATGTCAGCGGGATATCAGTGAACCCTAATCGGACTATTCTAGACCATTCCTGACAATCAAGGTAACAGTTAATTCAAGTACACGGAGTATCCGCCTAATGTAGGACACTGTGTGGATCATACAAATGGCCATGGAAATGAAAAGATATAAACCGAGGGTGCCGAGAACTAGGGGAAACCCACTGCACGCAGGTTAGACTATAATGTCGATCACGGGATAATCAATACCAGTTATAAAAACATCATGGGATGACTGGGAGAAGGGAATATAGACGATGAAAATAAAGTCTCACAAAATAGTTATAAGCTGCACCTTACGCATATGCAAACCCACATGATTTTACCGAACTACACTACAAAGAATCAGATCGATTACATTTCTGTTAATGGGATTTCAGAGGATCTATGGACGGCATAAGAACACTGAGAGAATAAGGTCAATACTTGGCGGTGGTCAAGATGAAGTTGAAGCTAAGAAACCACTGAACTGCTCAACAAGCGACACGACAAAAGTTCGGTACAGCTTAAGTTAGAGATGTTAACAATCCCAGTTAAACTAGGGTATCTTCTAGCACTAAGTTTCAAAACACAGAAATGACAGCTGCAAGTAAAGGGATTATGAGACAGCTGTATAATACAATAAAGAAGCTGACAGAAAAATGTTATTTTTATTCAGGCTGGATGTGTGATGAACCGTTGACGCCAATCCGAAATTAATCATCCTAACTAATCAAATTCAAGTATGTTCGGTTTGACCAAGATGTGTTGCAACGAATTATTTTGACACACACTATCAGCTGATGGTTTTCAACCAAGAACCAAGACACAAATTCGCAATACCACATATAGAAATTTTATCTTCTCCTCTAGATACTCAGTACATTGGTTCCACGCTCACTTACCAGCCAACAAAAAAAAGCATACGAATCACACAGATTCAAGAGCGAGGAGACAAATAAGTTAAAAACCTTGAAAAGTTTTTGAGTAGACCAACCCCATTGAACCCACCTGATGTCGAGGCAGCACACACTAACCTTCCTATATAATTTACCTCACCGTTAGTAGAAAAAAATCTTTGAGTCCATCAAACAAATCAGGAATGACAAAGCAAAACAATGAGGTAAAGTAGCAGTTGAAGTACTGAAGTCAGACATTAAAGTAATTGCGAAGATGTTGTACATTCTCTCCGTGAAATGCTTGAGGAAAAATAGGTACAAACAAGCTGGGAGGAGTAATTCCTCATTTATATACCGTCGTGTAAGAGCTACTGAAGTGTCACACTACTATCAGTTTGCAATAGTGTTGTTGAACAGAATGCAATGTTCAATATACGCGCAACTTTGAGATCAACAGGCCGGTTTTTGTGAGAACCGATTGCATACCTGTAGTGTCTGGTACCAATACACACTGACGTGCTTCATCCTAGCTTTTGAACAAAATTTAATAACTCAAACATCGTATAATATTGAGTTATTTTTACCTTCACAACAACTCTATTCTTTTGATAAGAAAATGTGATCTTCATCACACATACACATCTTATTTATATGTTCTCGTATTTTTACACTTATACGCCTTGTATGCACTTTTATGTGTTTGTCTATCACTCACCATTTTGTACGGTGCTTGTCTCTCTAAGGATTATATATTTTGAGCTACATTAACGCTTGTAATGAGTAGTATAACGAGTTCGCATGCTTGAAGTTTTCTCTCAGCCTCCCTTCTTCGTGCCTTTCATTGTTTGACTAAGGTAACGAGTGTATGAAATACACGTATCCACAATTCATTGTCGTATTTGACTTATTATATTCCGTTATTCTTTAACGCAAATTAAGTCAATAATTAATTACAAGGGTAGGCAGTTCTTGTATTTCGCCATGAACATCATTCGATCAAACTAGAGTCGGATGAATAGGCCACTGAATACCAATTAGACCGCAACCCTACGCATCACTGTTGAGCAAAAAAGATAATGGAACTTATCACTATGCATTCACCTCCTTGACCACGAGAAAACATTGAACATCGTGGAAAGGTTAACCAAGTATTATTTGTTTCAACACTACGGTTTAGTTAAGAAGATTGTCACCATTATTCGGAATTCATACGACGGACTACATCACACAGAGTGTAGACCACAGATGCATTCCGAGTGAAGACATAAAGAGATTGCATGCTCTTGTGATTGCTCGTCATTTACTCTTACAAATTGTCAATTCTTGCATATTACCTATTATTCTTTACTATTGTCCATTATTCTTTACCGGGATTTTGAGAAAAGACTTTGCTGAATTGCGGAGAGTGGTGAGGGCAGTTAGCAAAGTGTGTGGTGAATCTTCCGGGGTCATAATAAATATGGTTGTGGATAGACATCTAAAGTCATGCAAACTCCTGGCAGGTGTTATTTTATCAGATACTAACCATCCCCTTCACTCTTATCTTTCTCCTTGTATATCTTCTGGTAGAACGAGACGTAATTACATTAAAATCCATGCACACAAGCAAAAGTATAAAAGTTCTATAATACCTTACCTAGCAAATATATCATGTGACAAACAGGTTGTTAGAGTTAACTTAGTCAATAACCTGAATTCCGAACATATCTTTAATTTGGAAAGTTGTACAGTTTTTCAGATTTTTTCAAACATCTTTTTCCTTTTTTTTATCTTTGTTTTTTTTGTGTGAAAGAAACTTGTTAAAATACCTTGTGCTGAGAATTCTATATTGTACCAAAGTATAATATTGAATAAAGCAAATAACAATAATAATAATAATAAAGACTGATGTCAGACAAGGTTGCTCACTCTCATCTTTTATTACTTCTGGTGTTTAACGAAGCACAGAATACATTGGACAGGTCGGATGGAAATAGACGACTTAAATTTCAGGTGACCCGGCTCGTACATCTCATACCCACTAACAAACATAGATAAGGGCAGTCAATACGTAGCAGCCTCTGAAGCAGTAGGCCACAAAATTACCACGGGAAAAAGCAAGGTCTTGGAATGCAACAACGAGTGCCAGGCAATTAACACTTCATGAAGCTCAGAAAGTGGTGGAAATTTTACGTTACTGGACAGAATCGTTGATTAACAAGGGAAGTCTGATGTAGATGTAAAGGTACAGTTTGGCAAGGCAGGAACAGTATTCTTGCAGTTGAGGGTTATCGGAACTTAACACAACTCTCAGCCAACATCAAAGTTTGAGTTTTAGATACAAGGATTGAGAGAGGTCTGTTGCTTGGAGCTCGAACTTGGAGAACTATTACAACAGTCGTCGAAGAGGTACGGGTATTTGTAAACATTTGTCTACACAATATACTTTACACCAGCAGGCTGGACACACTTAGCAACAATTTACCGTCGAAAAAGATAAACTAGCTTTTAAATGAATGGTGAATTGGAAAAACGTGTTGGGGATGGATAGGACACAGTTTTATGAAATCTTCAAACTGCATCACAAAACATACCCTTGCTTCAAATTTTCAAGGCAAAAGGAAAGACGGTATAACAATCGACACGTTGTAGTAGGAATTGGAAGCAGGCATTAAAAGAGTAAAAAGCACTCGGAAACGACTGAAAAGAAGAGTCGGGTACAAATCAGTTTACAGATTCCTGGTCGGTGATCCATGATTCATGAGTAATGAAAGGCGTAACGAAGTAGATTAATTTGTTAGATTTTTTTACAATTCCTACTTACCATGAGACATTCAGATTGTTTCTGAATATAGTCTATGATAGACATAGACTAGTTCGTCATTTCTTTTCTAATAACAGTTAGATATCCAAGAAAAATACATGACTTGTGAAGTATTAATTACCAATGATCTCAGATATCCGGGTACTTCCAGGATAATAAGCAACTAAGTTTGAGCACAAGCATAACTAAGGAGACAGCATGCGTTTTCTATTGGTATTGGAAATCATTTTTTCTTGTACTAAAGCTATAGAGTTTGAGAATAGCTGTAGTACACTGATCTAGTTAAATACTACCTTATTTTGAGATTTAGATGGTGGTTGGAGGTAGTCAACAGGAAACCCTGGACCCGGGTTTCGTGCTACTTGGCACTCGTCAGCAAGGTGTACCTGTAATCTTGAGGGAACTGATGCTCCCTGACGGATTCGATCTCGTGTCACCCAGCTTCACAGTCAGAGACGTTACCACTGAGCTATCCGAGCCGTGACTAACCTCCTGTAGGACTGAGATGTAATCACAATTGATTGATCACTGGGTGGTGATCAATGTCATGCTTGTCTAGTCCTTATTAGTGCAGATCGAATGCTATCGATCATGTTGCAATGTGGCCACCAGTCTAGGTGAGTCGACAGTGGGGGCACTATGTATTGAGATTAAGATGAAACATGATCGATGGCATTCGATCTGCACTAATAAGGACTAGACAAGCATGACATTGATCACCACCCAGTGATCAATCAATTGTGATTACCTTATTTTTTTTTTGACTAATTTTTCACATACGAAACTTTGATGTCATTCATAACTACAGGTTTATTTCAAATGTCGTTGGAGACTTAATCATTTGAAAATACCCTCATCAATGCATCTATACTGGTAAATTATAAAATATATTAACTAATTAACCTTTTCTATCCCACTCTAGCCTATTAGCCTTCCTCCTTCTCTAGCACAGTTTAAATAGTAAACAAATTCTCTCCGGGTAGAGTTAGATTTAGGTGAGAATCGAGCATAGTAATGAAACAAACAGAGTAATACCAGACTATCAAACGTAGCGATTTCATTAAAATGAATTTATTATCGTTTGCTTTAGTTGATTTTTAACTAACCAATACTTCTATAAGATAAATGTCCAATAGTTCATAATGTTGTCATAACGAAATGCTTTTAAGAAAATATATTTATTTTGGGTATCAACTTTTCAAATGAAATAAGATTGAATATAACGAAAATTAATAGTTTACAACTATGCAAATATTTGAATACTGAAATATGATCTAGATATATTGAACGAAGATGAATTGATCAAATCTTTATTTAGAATGTTTGAAACAAGATGTACTTCATTAAAATAAAGATAAACAAAGTCATTTGCAGTAATTAGATTAAATAAGAGACAGCTTTGAGTTAACACATAAGCTAACAGTTGCAAATAGCTTGAAAATGCAATGATTATTTCCAGAATGACAGAAGTTTACTGTTTGTTTGTTTGTTTTTTCTAATAGAACTAAATAATTAAAGACTCCTAACATGATCCTGGTTACATTAAAGAACTAAACGAAAATTCAGTTTGAATGGACGTGAAATTGGTTCAATTAATTCATTCATTTGTTTTTTATTTAAAACATTTAATTCAATTAAACATTGAGCATTTTCTGAATCAATTGCATAAGAGAATGTATTGAACAATGATCCAATGCATGAATATCTAGTACCAGTGGAACCATTTATTGATGCAGCTAATCCTGAATGAATTTGTATTGGTCTATAGTCATTTTCATTAAAATATTGAAAATATTTTATTCTATTAGGCTCTAAATAGTTGATTGCAACACCTGGAACTTCTGGTTCTAAATAACATCTATGAAAAAACATTATGAAAAATTATAATTTGAGAATAGAAAAAAAAACAAAATTTTTTATAAGGATGAACTATGGGTAAACTCAGGGAAGCTCTAAGAAAATCAGAAAGACCTGAAGACATTCCATCCAATCGTTTTTTTTTGGAAGAACATTCCATAATATCGATATGTAGTTTCCCTATGGGACAAGTACTAAAAACCACTGTATACGGATTGAATGACTATAATGGTGATTTCGTTTTTACTAGAAAACTATAAATACCTGAGAGTTTTGTATCATATTTGAAAGTGTTTAGAAGAGGATTCCTTCATGTTCGTCTTGTGTCTTCTTTTCTGTGACTTGGAGGGTGAAATTACAACAAAACTTGTACTTATCAATTGTACGTGCTAAATGTCCAATATATATATATATATATATATATATATATATATATATATATATATATATATAGAGAGAGAGAGAGAGAGAGAGAGAGAGAGTGAAATAGTTTTACGAAGCGACAATATCGTTCCTAATCCAAATATAAGGCAAATAAATCGTTTATTGTCATTGTTAAGATAAATCATATACCATTATGCTTTGAATAAGCTTGTATGTTAAATGAAACTGTACAATAAGTAATCTGTAATTCATATATTGAATTCAATTAATTGGGAATAGTAGTTATAGCTGAATAATATGAATTTCATTTACTTCATAGATTGACTTCAATAGTTTACAACTTGGAAACATAATTAATAATGTTCTTCATTCAAAAGTACTAACCCACTAAACGAATGGTTTTTTCTTTTTTTTCTTTTCTTCTTTTGGAGAACTTTCAATTCTTCTTTTTCGGATGTATCTTCTTCTTCTTCTTACCATTAATTATAATAGTCCAATTTATCCTGCTGTTATCTCTAGTACGTATCTGGTTAGTTTTCATCATATTCACTATGGAATAAAGCATCGCGATATTTTTTTCTGAAAGAACTAACTGTTGAATATATTCTTTACATGCATTACTATACACTTTCATTTAGAATTAGGTTTTCATCAATTTTTATTTGTAATTGAACTGGTTAACTAATTATTTTATGATTGTCAGTTAAATAAATAACTGACATTAGGAACGATGTATGTTGAAGTGATTTAACTTATTTATAAATACTAACACGAATATTGATTTCATTCAGATAATGATACTGTAGTGCGTTCTACTGATGTCAATAGATATAAGTAGTATGTATCACCAGTCAAAAGTGAAATGCCTCGTGGCAGAGGGTTAAGAAGAAAAAAAGAACGAGAACAAAGAATGATTGATGTAGAATTGAAGGAACAATGAAATCTCAGACCATTGATTGACATTTTGCAAACGAATTATTTACTATATGGTTCTCAGATTTTACTAAGATATTCTGTAATTTCATATTCGAATACATTCGGTTGTCCCCATCTATGTGGTCCCATTCACTACAATACCTTTAAGGAAAACAACTTGATCAGATTTATAAGTCCTGGTTGTTTTAGGTCTTGGAATTTAGGATATGGTTACAGTATTATACAACTTGTTCCACTTGTACAATTATCCTAACAATTTCGTATTAATAGTTTTCAGTAGCTTGACAATATACTATTTTTTATTTTTAAAATTTAAGATTCATTTTATGCTGGTATTACCTTAAACGTGTAACATTTGAAATACTGATCTAAGAAGATTTTCTTTATATAAAAGTGCTCTTGAACAGAGTAGAGTTTTAATATATAATCAAAGAATATCTATTCATTATATCTGATTTGTTTCCTGCTATTAATCACTTTAGATAAAAATCTAGCTGCTTGTAACAACACAGAGAGGGATTTTTTTCTTTTTCCTTTTTGTAGTTACTTCCTGTTAAGATCGAAAAATTTATTGTAAATTATGTCAATCAATCATAGCAACAAAGAAATTAGTCGTGTTCTACAGCAATAAACTAGTCAATTTCTTAATATATTTCATTTCAGATGATAATTTGTCATAATTAAGTTATCTGTAAGGTATCATATACTACCGTGGTGTCGACTGAACAATATTTAGATCTTTAATGCAACAAACATCTTTTGAAAATTGCAAGTCTTTTTAAATCGATACTTTTAGATAAAGATCAAAAGGTTCAAATAATAACACTTGATCTGTTGATCTTAAATTCACTTTATAAGCAAAGATGGATTTTGGCTAGTACTGGAATCCAAGACGCACATTCCGTCCTATTTGGGACTCGTCAGCTGGATGAAACTGTATGATAGAATTGATGTTTAGTCTGAAACTTGAAACCAGTACCATAAAATTCACTTTATTATAATCAATGAAAACTGTTCAATCAATTTCAAAAGTTAACTTACAAAAAATCACAATTTGTATCTCCATAAGTAAATAAAACACGCATAGTTTGTTTTGGTTCAATCCAAATTAAGTAACCAGTTTCAGAGCATAAATGTGGTATATCTGTATACAATCCACTAAATACCATAATAAAATAATAATAAAAAAAGATACAAAATATACATATATTCAAACGTTTGTTAACAGTAACAAGTCTTATTTATAGAAAGATGAACAGAATAGAAGTTTCATGAATATAACTAGAAATATGTTCAAATGATCATATCTTCAATGGTTATCTGTCAATAGAGATATGAGTCCGTATGGTGTCCAATACATTTTCTTGGACTAAAAAGTTGTTATCAAAAAATAAACTTGAACTTTTATTACAAAAATTATTTTGAAAAAAACAGAAATATGAAGACATAATTATAACTTGATTGATATGAAATGGTGAAGGTCTCAATGGTACAGTTATGTTAATTTGTTATACAGTAAAGAATTACTTAAGAGATATTTTACATGAGTACGTCTTTAAACAAATATACTATATTGATATTCACAATCGATAAGGAATTAGATATCTAATAATAATCTAATTAACTATATATGCAAAGATGGATAGTGGCTAGCAGTAGAACCCAGGAATCGTGTTTCATTCTATTTGGAACTATCAGGATTCAGTAGCTAAGTGGATAACGTGATGGTGTTTGAAGCGAACGGTACTGAGTTCGAGTCCCAGAGTGGAAATCAACTCTGAGATGTAAGTACATACAGCTGACGAGTACCAAATAAGACGAAATGCAAGTCCTGGATTCCACTGCTACACATAATCCATATTTGCTTATAAAGCCTGTGAATCAAGGCAATATCGAGGCAGTACGCACACCATGCACATATGCCAACAACACACTGATCAATTGCAGTCCTAAACCTCAATGTGAAGATTCAAATAAACAATATCAAGTGTAAGTAGCTATATATTTGTATAATCATGGAGTACATTGTAAACATCAGTTAAATCAAATCAAATATTATCTTCTTGTCTCAGCACGTTTAGATATGTACATTCATCCAGCATTTCTTTATTAACTCTTATAATAATTAACTTAATCATGACAGAATTTCACTGTTGTTAGATTAAGCAATAAGACTGATGAGTTTATTTTTAGATTTTATTGACTAATCACAAACTTTTTTCAATAGTTGATTTCATGAGTTAATCGACGCTAGACCACAATTGAAAACCTGGAAGCACTGGGTGGCCGTTTCGTCTAAGTATTGGACTTTTCAGTAGTGCTCATCCACCCTCATGTAGGATTACTACAGTTACCACTGTAGTGAACGAGAACACAAATGGAAACAATCGAATGTATTTGAATGCAAAATTACAAAATATCTTAGTAAAATCTGAGAACCATATAGTAAATAATTCATTTACAAAATATAAATCAATTGTTCTTTCGTTTCCACACCAACCATTCTTTGTTCTAGTTCTCTTTTCTTTCATCTTCTTAACCTTCTGCCACTAGGCATTTTAACTTCGATTGATGATATATACTACTTATATCTATTGACATCAGTAGCAGACACCACACTACAATGTCCATAAACCTTCATTCTAATAATAATCATCATCAACTGACATTTAAAAGCCAAAAGATGTTGTCATCAGAGTAGTTAAGTGATTAACTTTCTTCATTTTAAGTCTTCAAAAAATAAACAATTAATTTGAATCACTCAAGATTGTAAGTATTCACTTTAGAAGAAACCAACATTGTATTTCATAAGTTTCCATTATTTACGGATAGGAACTTAATCATTTTAAACATGTAAAGTAAATCTCAAATGTGGTTTATTTTGATGAGAAGTAAACATTTAACTTATTCAACATAATATTCTGAATACATTGGATTTATTTAGTTATACTGTCTATAGGCAATTAGGATGATAGTATTTGACATAACCTAGGAAAAAAATCGGATCCAGTTAGAAGAAATTCGGATTAACACAACGTAAGGAAGAAGGCAGAGACAATAGATGAAAAACCTATGATACTATGTATTTACATACAGTGACGTTTATTTGTTTCATTCTTATTCATTAGTAGTGAGATGATGATATGTAATTGGGTATTGAGGAAAGTAAATTATCTTAGATCACTCATATCCCAATCAGTTACAAACTTATCCATCATATTGATATTGGAAATTATTTAATTCTCATTTTGTTGAATAATAACCACGTCTGTGAAAAATTGATATGTCGTAGAATTTTTTTGATGGAGTTTTTTTGTCTGAGCTGGATGGTTTGGTCGTGGAGATTTCATCGTTCTTCTGAGCAACATCACCAGCACAAATTTATACCTGAAATGATGATCTTGTTCAGAAGAACGATGAAAGCTCCATGACCACACCATCCAGCAAAGACTACAGAACTCCAGCAAAATCATCCACCTGAACTACAAATCTCCACCATCTCAGTGTCGTAGAATTGTTTATTTCTGTTAACTCATATTACTAAGGAAACCATTTTATCATACCGTGCACATGTGTCTTGTTATATAAATAAATTAATTGGTCGTAGGTTTTATTTTCTTTTATCAATTCGAAATTCTTAAAAATCGTTGTTTTAATATTGACTTAATCACAGTAAAATATCCATGAGGCTTTAGAAAGATGATTATTCTATTTCATATTACTTTATAATAATTAAGTAGGTAAAAGAAACAAACAAAATTCTCTTGTATTTCATAATCAACTTAAGGGATTATCTATTTCATAATTGAGTAACATATGATGCATTTTTATTAAAATATTTCCTGAGCAGAAAAAGGAATCAATAGTTTTGATGTACTTGCCCGGCATAAAATGAGTATTTAATCGTACAACAAATCAACTTTCTATGTTGATGTTACCGTTTTACTCAATAATGCACGAAAGTTGACTCTAGTAACCAATGATAAGTGATCATACAAATACGGTATAAAATGGATTTAAATGAATAATTAGACCGACTTAAAGTTTTATCAGACACAGTTTACATCAGTAAAAATTTTTTAATAGCCCATTAGTTAGGTGAAAAAAGATAGAACTACATACAATGAATTAACTGGTAGATGGCTTTAATATGGCTGACGTAAATGAATTAAATTCACAATCTAATTGGTGTAATTTGTTACTTTGTGCTACATCAAGAGACCTTAGCGTGATTATGCAAAATGACTAGAGTCGTATTTTTAAACCAATAATTAATGCTTAGTGGTTTATGGAAAAACTAAGGACCCAGAGTTTCATTTTCTATGCGATCTTCGATAAACGTAGCTGAAAAATCACCGATTATTAAGTAAAAGCTTACAAGTTTTGTATGGTCTTTAATTGTTCTTCAGCTATTGCCAGTATGTAATAGAAACTATGCTTGCATATACACATGAGATAGACTACTGAATTAAAATTTTCCTGAGTGGTCAGTACTTGAATGTATATCAGTAAACAGAACAGCTGATTATAGAAGATTTTTTTCTCAAGAGATTAAAACTGGTCTCAGATGTGCTTGCTAAGTAAAATTTCAGCTTCATTAGATTTTTAATGGTTTTTTTTCTAGTGGTGTCTGTTCCTTATGAAAACTATCATCGATGAATTTAGAAATTTCCATAGAACTATTTCACTCAATAACTTTGTTATTTTCTTAATTTATTAGGATTATGAATAAGAATTAAACAAATAGGAATCAATTTTATGTTCGAGATACCAGATTCATTTGTACTTTCATTGAAACTATGTCTTTTTTCCCTATTCTATTATTACTTATATCAAACTAGTTGATTAGCCAAAATATCTAATGAATAAATAATTAATTTTTAATTAGATATACACAGGTAATTAATGGTAATTGATTTGATCAATATTTCAATTCAATTATAAACTTTCTTTTATGACAGTATTGTTTTTAACATCCTTTCGATTAATATAAGATTCACAGATCAGGAGCAACTTAATTACTGATTGATCTAAAAGAATGTATTTATATAAACACAGACTGATCAACTGCTGTAACACACCTTAAGTAGAACTTCATGGAGACAACTTACACTAAAATTGTATTTGACAATCTTTGAGCGCAAAATAACAAAACTTCAGTCTGTTATTCATTCAGTGCCAGTAAACATTTCGAAAATCAAAGTTTCCATTCAAAAAACTTAATTATTTGAAAATAAGATATAATAGTTGAATTCATAAGTCGATTAAAGCTAGACTACCATGGAAAACCTGGTCGTTTCGTTCTAGTATACGACTCCTTAACAGTGCACACCCACGATCTCGCACGCGGGACTCAAACCCAGTACCTTCGCTCTCGTGCAGCAACACTTAAACTCTAGAAAATTGAACTGGCATTCAACGGTGTTAATGTCTAACTTCAACCAATATACGAAATCACTCCACCGTTTCCTGATGTCTTCAGTGAGTTATTACCTCACAAAAGACACGGTTGAACTCCACTGGTCACGAATTCATACCAGAAATCCAGGAAGTCCATCTTGAAGCAAGTCATTAGTGAGCACATGATGATGATTATCAAAAGGGGGGCTTGTGGAGATTGTAATAATTTAGTAGTTGAATTTATGAAACAATTAAGGATAGACCACCAAATAATACCTAAAACCATTGGACAGTTTTATTATTTTAGTATAAGACTCCTCAGCAGTGCGAATTTACAATCCCGCTCATGGAATTCGTACACAGAACTTATACTAGAACGAAATGGCCATCCAGTACTTTCAGGTTTTCCATGGTGATTTAGCTTTAATCGTCTCATGAATTCAGCTATTCCATGTTATTTTAATTAAATATTTCACTGGTCGAAATGATGAGTCAATTGAAGCTAGACAACCATGGAAAACCTAGAAACACTGGATAGACGTTTTTTTCCCACTATGGAACTCTTCAGTTAAGCGCTCACGCGCAAGACCAATAGATCCTGGGTTCGAATCTCGCAAGACGGAATCGTGGATATGCATTGCTAAGGCGTCCCATACTAGGACAAAACAGTCGTCCAGTGCTTATTATTAATTGAATAAATGTTAACTATTGAAACTTTGAAATTGTTTTCTTAAATAATGAATGTCATTCATTGTACA